AATGGATGCAAGAGAAGTTCTGGAAAAGTTTTGGAAAAGCTTCAAAAGTGAGCAAAGTCTGAGAAAAGGCTACCAAACCACGTGCTAACAGTTGCTCCTCGAAGTCAAGTCGCAACTGCAGCTGTTCAAGCTAAGCACCCTTTGTTTTAACGGTTTTAAGAAAAAGGAAACAAAGTCGCGAGACGTTTTCGTCTTGCGAAGCAAGCCCATAGGGAAATTCGTCTTGCGAGGCAACTCGAAAACGGAAAAACCTTTCGTCTAGCGAGTTTTTTGTCTTGCGAGGCATTCGTCTTGTGAGGTACCACTGTATCAGAAATCAGGTCTGTGCATGTCCAGACACTATTTTCGGCGTTTGGGCGTGCGCAGAAGTGATTTCCGGCGCTGTGGACCATTTCCGACATAGCGCTGCGCCAGTCCAGCCCACAGATGATCTCTGTGGGAGTGATCCGGCCCATGGCATGTGAAGCTTGCCAACCCCTGCCCTAACCTAACCCCAACCCTAAACCGAACCCTAACCCCAAACCCTAAATTATAAACCCTGATCCAAACCCTAGACCCTGACCCTAAACCAGGGGTCAGCAAACTTTTTCAGCATCGGGCCGGTCCACTGTCCCTTAGACCTTGTGGGGGGCCAGCTATATTTTGAAGGGAAAAAATGAACAAATTCCGCAACACATTCTACTCATGTAAAAACTGCTGATTCTTGGACCATCTGTGGGCCACATTTAGAAGACAATTGGGTCAGATCCAGCCCCCAGGCCTTAGTTTGCCTACCAATGCCCGAACCCGAACCCAACCCCGAACCCTAACCCCAACCCTAAATCGTAAACCCTAACCCTTACTATTTGGGATTAGAGGTGAGACTCAGAGTCTAGGGTAGGGATTTAGGGTTAGGGTTTAGGATTTAGGGGCTGGGGCTAGGGCGAGGGTTAAGGGGTTAGGGGTTAGGTCTAGGGGTTGGGTTTGGGTAAGGAGGTTGTGGTCATTTTTAAATGGGGTCAATTTAGGGGCCATAGCCCCTAAATCCTAAATCCTAACCCTAAATCCCTACCCTTGACTCTGACCCCTCACCCCAAACACCTAAGGAGACACCTAAGGAGGATAAAAAAATCCTCCTGGGTGATTTTAATGCAAGAGTTGTGATGCATTTCGATCTGTGACCTGGGAAAATTGGGAAAGAAGGAATTGGCAACAGCAACCAATACAGAATCTTACTTTTGACTATATGTGCAGCGCACAACCTTATTATTACCTATAAGAAGCACCCTTGGTCGAACCACTGGCACCTCTTTGACTATGTAATTGTCTGAGCTGAAGATTACCGTGATGTGCTCATCTATGACGTGTGCTGACGTGTGCAGGACAGATCACCGATTAATACATTTCATGATGGCTATTAAGATTATACCTCAACAAAGTCTTCTGGGAAGGAAACCAAGGTGCAAAATGAACACTCAAGCTCTTCAAGATCCTATTAAACGGGATTGCTTCCAAACGACTCTTAAGGACCATCTGTTTTTGGAGTTCCTTGATAACATAGAGGAACACTGGACAATGCTAAAAACATCTATTATTGTAGCCTGTTCAAATGTACAGGCGCGCGGGACAGCAGAAAGCCCGGATTGGGAACCAGGTCCTAAAGCCCGCCGGAGGGAGGGGGAAGACTCGGGGGAGTCACCGTCAGAAGAGTCCAGAAAGGGGAAAACCCCGGCGGACAGGCGGACCCAGAGGAAAAGGGAGCAGAGGAAGAGGTGGAGCAAGGCTAGGGTCTTAAACTGGTGTCTGGGGGGAGGAGACTCAGATGGAGCTTCGACGGTCTAGAGTTTCAGACGTAGGGCTGCGCGCCACGGCTGTAAAACCAATAATGAACTTCAATAAAGACTTTTGTATATAAAGAGATACTGGCGTTGGTCCTCTGTGAGCAGCTCTGACACATATCAAAAGATGGAAAGCTCTTTGAGTAAGTTGAAAGCAAAGGGTAAGGTTACCATAACTTCCGTCATAGAGCTTTAGTATGCTGATGACAACATAGTGTGTGCATACTCAGAGGATGACCTCCAAACCATCCTCATTACCTTTGCAGAAGTTTACGAATGGCCTATTGCTCAACATCCGCAAAACCAAAGTGCTTGCACCAAAAAGCACAAAACAACAAGCACAAAACAACCCCTCTGCAGCACCACAAATGTTGGAAAGTGTGTATCACTTTTCCTACCTGGGCAGTTATCTTTCCACATTGATACCAAAATCCAGCATCACCTGAGCTCTGCGAGTGCAGCTTTCTCCCAACTGAAGTGTAGAGGATCAGGACATTTGCAGGGAAATCAAAATGCTTGTTTACAAAGCTATTGTATGCTTGTGAAACATGGATATGGTGTCTCCGAAAAATGTTACACATCACTTGGGAAGACAGTGTACTGGAAGCAGTAGTGTTAAAGCAATGATTCTTCAACATCAACTTTGTTGGAATGGTCATGTTGTTCAGATGCCTCATTAGTCTTCCAAAGCAACTATTCTATTCCAAACTTAAAAATGGAAAGTGTAATGCACTTTCAACAAAAGAGGTTTAAAGGCAAATATAAAAAGATGTATTATAAACACTGACAACTGGGAAACACTGGCCTGTGAGCACTCCAATTAGAGAACAGCCTTTACCAAAGGTGTTATGGACTCTGAAGATGCTCAAACTTAGGAAGAAAGGGAGAAACGTGCCAAGAGGAAGTCATGTTTGGCAAAACCTCACTGTGACCAACTCCCGCCCGGAAACCTATGTCCCACTGTGGAAGGACGTGTGGATCCAGAATTACCAACTCACTGTTAAGACCATGTTCATGGAAGACAATCTTACTTGGCTATGAGTGATTGCCAAAGATGAAGCAGCAGCAGCTCATGAGGCCCCGTAACTCATTTAAAGTAGCTAAACTAGCCTTATCTTGGGCTACAGTTCCTTCCTTGCATCATCTGTTGTTATCATCAGTTTCCTTTTGGGTGAAGACAGAGACAACGCAGGTATTGAGCAGTTTCACTGTCTGTCACCCATTAGCATTTCTACATCTTCTCCATGCAGAGGACCTACTAGCTTGCTTGCTACTACTTGCTACTACTACAAGCCTGATGTAGAAATGCAGAAAGAAAATAGCCATGTTTCTAAGATTATATAATGTTATATAATGTGTTATTAATAACTGAGATGGGGACAGAGTGTTGGAGGAGGTGTAAAATTAAGGGATCCTTCCTGCAACAAATTTGCCATATTTCTAGATTCTATCTTTACAGAGATCCACAAAATTACTAGTCAATGCCTACAAAAGGCTCTGTTGAATTTGTTTCTAGATTAAAACTTGAATGTTCACTTTAAACCATTAATTGGATATTTTCTGGTAGTGGCCTGAATGCAGATTAACAGATTTTGGATGGGACTAGAAAGGGCAACTCTTATCACATGGTACCAAAAAGTGGCAGATAAGATAAAAATGTCATGGGGGCAGACAAATTCATGGTGGAATTGTATTGTTTTATTACACATATCAACAAGATGGACATCAGCGGACTTCCTACAGCATGTAAAATATTCTGACCTCTTTGATTCCTAATGGTGTGATATTTTTATTGTATTGGATAATCTGGGCTCAACTTTCTTTGGGTTTGTTCTGTTCTGCATCATAGTTACAGAGGGAGAGAAGAGTTACTTCTGTAAAAAGAAAAGCTATAAAAATAAATTTTAACAAACTATAAAGAATAATTTTACAGACAAGAAATCTCTACAAAGAACAGGTCCTCAAAGAATTTATTCCTTTAATAAATAACATATTTTATTGCATGTTTCTATTAACAAGAGCAGCCAAGGTCAGTAAAGATTAAATACTATTCTAGTTCCATGTATTCTCATCCCTAGCAGCATCACTGATTTACTCCTATATACAGAGTGCACATTGGAAGACAAAGCCAGGTAAGCTAAGTGTTTGTCACAATGGCAAGAAATAATTTAACATATCGATAACTAGAAACAATTACATATCAAAAAAGAAAACACTGCTTATAACTTTTAGAAATCAAAACCAGGCAAGGTGTACAAAGAACCAATCAGTACACACTGCAAAGTTTTAGCAGACTTTTGGTTCTACATTGTAAACTAGGAACATAAATAGTTGCATAAGCTTTTTGTGAAATGTATACTATAGTATATTCAAGCTCCCTTGTTTTAGATGTTGTCTGGCTAAATTTGTTATTGTGGCAATAACATTTTGGTTTCAGCAATTCAATGTTCCTCATCAGCTTTATAATCAACCATCTTGCTCAGGCAGAAAGGTTTAGGAGAACAGATATGACTAAAAGTAATCTTTTTTGATACTTCAATCATTTTACCAGCAGAAGCATTATAATATTCCCCTTCCCATGCCCTCAGAGGAAGACTAAATGGGTGGAGATTACATTCAGATCTCTCTTATGATACAATCCTCAATCCCAATGCTCAGAATGGAAGCAGTTTGCATTCCATTTAATTGAGCAATAAGACACTAGATGCTTTGTCTACCTCAATAAACATGTAATACATTGTTTCTGATAACACACTACAGAAAATTCTCAAGAAAAAAACTTCTTATGACTCAGACAAGAGTTCAAATCATTATCAATTTTTTAAGAGTCTCTTTAAACAAACAGAGGTTAGAAGTAACAAGAGAGTGAAAAATAACCCATCATAGTGCAAGCTTTTGGGGTGACATATATAAAAGAGTGGGATGCAGGTGGCACTGTGGTCTAAACCACTGAGCCTCTTGGGCCTGCTGATCGGAAGGTCGGCGGTTCAAATCCCCGTGGCGGGGTGAGCTCCCGTTGCTCTGTCCCAGCTTCTGCCAACCTAGCAATTCGAAAGCATCTCAAAGTGCAGGTACCACTCTGGAGGGAAGGTAAACGGCGTTTCTGTGCACTGCTCTGGTTTCGCCACATGACCCGGTTTTCCACATGACCCGGAAAATCTGTCTGCGGACAAATGCCGGCTCTCTTGGCCAGTAAAACGAGATGAGCACCGCAACACCAGAGTTGTTCGTGACTGGACTTAATGGTCAGAGGTCCTTTACCTTTTTATATAAAAGAGCAGCTATGACACTGTTGGTTTTCACTACGTATACTTGTGAGAATTTCTAGAATAACTTGTTTTTGCCCTCTCCCCAAATTCTTTTAATGAAAAATTTTGTTCCTATAAGAGGTCTTTTAAAATGAAGTGCATTATTATGTTCTGAACATATTCAGTTGGTCCAAAAACAACAAATACACTTCCATTATTAGCATGTTGATCTGGTTTTGGTTACAAGAAATTCAACTAATATCATGATTAGCTGATAAATGAAAGCATACAAACAGAAGACCTTAAGTACTCCTGAAGTAGTTAAAAAACTAAACAGACACAATTATACAACTATGTCACAAGGCAAAGAATATCTTAGTATAGTTTAATTGCATTATGTTCCATTACATATTTTAAAACCATTATAAATATTCTGATAAGAAGCCTAAAGTTAGTTTTGGCTTAAATTTTTCAGTTCCTATCCTGGACTTTGCCTGCTAACTAAACAGAGGAGCCAGTGGCTTAGATGCAACCAGGCGGCAGCAGGATTCTTGATATGATCATTAAGGCTGATGACAACACTCAGCTCTGAGATAAAAGATATTGCCAGCCATTATACACCAGCATTACAAATCCAGTTTCATTTTTAACTGAGGTAGTGCTGTAGAGGTTTGAAAGGGTGCCAGTAAAAAACCAGATTTTACTGCTGTAGCAGTTGCAAACACAACCTCCTAACATGCTGAAAAATAAATACAGTCAACTGTGCTGGGGGGGGGGGGGAAATGGCACTCACTCAGTCAGCCTACTGAAGAGGTCCAAAGTTCTAAAGCATATTTTATGCAAACAGTGTTGCAAACTCAGTGAATGAGATGGGATAATTCCCCTCCATGAGAACCATGGAACTGAAAAAAGCGTACTGTATTAGGATTTTAAAATGTTTTAAATTTCATCAAGCAGTTTTCATGGTGGTAATACTGGTTTCTTCATTCTGAAAAGAAAGAGAAAGTAAAGGCATCACTAAACTCTAGCCAAATAAAGATGCAGGTGCAGTCAGAGCTCCTTCACTACTCAGTTACAAGTTCAGAATGACCCAGTACTCTGAGGGCACAGACTACCAACATGTAGAAGATGTCCTTGGTGCATTAATTTTGCCTGTTACTCTCTTGGTGTGTAAAGGTAAAGGGACCCCTGACCATTAGGTCCAGTCACAGACGACTCTGGGGTTGTGACGCTCATGTCGCTTTACTGGCGTACAGCTTCTGGGTCATGTGGCCAGCATGCCTAAGCCGCCAAAATTCTGTACAATGTTCCTCAAGCATGAGGACCACATTGCTTCATGGGCTCATCAACTACAGCTCCTAGAACTAGGTAATTAAGTTATTAAAATCTTAATTAAGTTATTAAAATCTTAATTAAGTTATTAAAATCTTAAAGCACATAAACCCATTTTTAACTTGCCAAATGTGTGGCTTTTTCCTATGCTGGAAGAAGAGGGAAGCTTTGGAACTGACAAGAGCATATTTTAAAGAGTCTATGTTTCCATGCCACTTTGGCATATTTTGTGATTTTAACTGCTGGAGTACTTGCCACAAACTTGGATCTTGCGGCAGCATGTAATCCCACATCCTTCTGTTACAGGGGCCACTTCACCTCATTGCTTTAACCCCTTTTAAGTCACCTCATTGGTTTGACCTTTTATCAAAACTAGGCTTTTAGAAGTCAACTCTTCTTAAGTTAGACCTGCAACAAAATACTGCAGCCTAGAACAGAAGAGGTTCAGTCCTCTTGGGAAAGCAGGATTTCAGGAGAAACCCCCCCCCCACACACACAAAAGGACTTTCCTACAAACATAGCAGTCTGTAACTATACAGCATGTGAGGGATGTCTGAGAAGCTGCTTTGTAGTTCTTTCCTCCTAGGACAGCCCAGTACAGGGGAGCTATTACGGACACTCATATTCCTATTTGGTTAGAAGTCCCCCTACTCCCAGGTCAGTGGGCACAGAAATCCTGCCTAAAGGTGTTACTGTAGGAAGAAAGATTGAACTGGAAGAGCTCTCATTACAGATTAAAAAAAAACCTCTGTGAAATGTGAAATGCTGAATGATCACGTTCAGCAGCTCTGGGCATAATGGTGTTTCAATCCATTATCCACACAAAAAAGAAAAAAAGAAAAAGTAAGGAAGCTTACCTTTCACTGAAGAGACTTCTTTCAAATTGTGGGTCAAGAAGTCTATACTGGTGCAAGTACCATTGATACTTTCATTACAGGGGTGTCTGCCTTTGTGCTTGCCTTGGCCACCACTTGCCAAATAGTCTCCTTCCAAGACATCAACAGCAATGTGGTTGAGGCCATTCTGGAAGCCAGCTGAGGTCTCCCGGCACATGGGGCTGCTGGTCTGCTCTTCTAACAAGCCATTTTTCCTGAGGGACACATTTTCCACAGAGGCAGAATTGTGTCGCTTGGGACTGTGTGCAAAGGAAGGAGAAACAGGCGTCACTGTAGTAGTAGAGGGAAAGGTCTCTGAGCTGTGCCTCCGCCGTCCCTGAGGATCAGCACGGATTACTTTGGCTCCATGATTAGGATCAGGAGGAGGACTGGCAAAGATGAAGGCCTGCACCCCAGAAAGTGTAAGTTGCTTCAATTCAGTAACAGGGCTGCTTATATTAACATTTTCTGGCTTCTGTAAAATGGGCTGGGTTGGGGTGGCTGTTGTAAAAGTTGTCTCCATTTCAACCTTTAGGTAATGTTTGTTAGGTTGCCCAGGGCTGGGGCAGGATCCTGGGATCAACACATCTTCCAAGGATTCCGCAGCTGCTGATTGTGACCCATCAAAGTTGAGGTTCATATAGCTGGGGATGAGGGAATCATTGTGCTCATTCAACCCAGAGCCAAGTGAGGAAGCTGAGCTGCCACAGGCTAGTGAATATCCAATGTGGACATACTCTCCACAGGGACTTTGTGATTCATTTGTAGGGGGTTGCTCATTCATGTAGGGAGTAAGAGAGCTCTCAGTTTGGCTGTAGTAAATGGTTGAAGGCATCATTGTGTGGTTGCAGATAGCAAGGAAGGACTCCCCTTTGGGTGTGAGAGTTAATCTCTCTACAGGTGAGTTCATTAACATATACTGGTCACTGTTCTTTTTCTCACCCAGAGAGTTTGGCTGGCTTTGGCAGGCATGAGATAGTGGGTTATAGAAGTTGTTGGTCTGGCCCCTCAGCCCCTGGCCTGCAAAGCCATCAGGAGAGGGCAAAGGTGAGGCAGATCCATAGACGGGAGGCAACAGCAAAGGGGACATGTCAATGTAGTCACCACTGGTCATTCTCGCATCAGGACTCTCCCCAGATAACTTAGTACCCAACATGCGCATGTAGTCACTGTCATCTAGGGAGTTATCACTGCTGATCTTGTGGGAGTGAGGATGCAAAATCTGCTGTGGAGCTGACACACTGGTGGGGCTCATAGACATATAACCACCAGGACCACCTTGCAATGGCAAAACAGCTGCTCCCCCAGAGCTCATGGGCATGTAGCCCTCCTCCCCACTACCACTGCGACCTAGATGTGAGCTGCTACTGCTGCTGGTGGTTCCGCCAGAGCCAATGTCCACATCACAGTAGTCCTCAGGGTAAGGAGTATAGGTTCCCCTTGAAGGGGCCCCTGCTGCTGGTAAGGTAGCCCGCATGAGTGTGTACTCATCCAGCGAGGCAGAGGAGAGAAGAGTTGGCATGGGGTGCCGATATGCTGGTGTTGTCAGGGAGTAAGTGCGCTTCCTGGGAACCTTGTCTCCTCCAGCGCTCTCCCATATGTAGGGCCAACAACAAAGGTGTCCCCGCTCCATGGCAATGTAGCCATCCAGCTGCAGGTCAGGAGGAGTCTCAGGTGTGTTGCTGTGGTTACTAGCTGTTGAAGGGTCCATGGCTGGACCCAACTCCTCAAAGGCCAGGAAGCTAGCAGGATCGCTAGGGGAGCCGGAGGTGCTGCTGCTGGAAGGGTGCTGGGAGAACATGCCTGGGTCCGTAGCCAGCTTTGTAACCAAGGAGGGGGAGCGCAACAAGGCCAGGGAATGACCGGGCGGCGCAGCTGCCTGGGTCCCAAGCCTGCAGCTGGCTGCCCCAGGCGTGTGCAAGCGGCTGAGCGGGGGCTCTCCAGCGTCGGACCCCGAGGGGCTGCCAGCTAGTGAACCAGCTCTGCCCCCGTCACCCTCACTCGCAGTCCGGCTCCGGTTCCCACTGCTTCTGCCCGCCACCAGAGTGTCTGTACGCGACCGGCGGAGAAGCCCGGCCTGGCTGGGGGGCAGCGCCATCAGAGAGGGCGGGTGGTGATGGCGGCGGCCGGGAACCGAAATGGGTCGACTGCACATAGCCGACAATGCTCCGCTGGCGCCGGACGATGACGAACTGGATGAAGATGACGACGACTGGCTCTTGCTGCGTGGGCGGAACTCGGCCAGCTCCCGCAGCGCCTTCATGGCCTCCAGGATGGTCTCATGGATGTTCTGCGCCACCACCGAGTCGTCCGCCTGCATCCACAGCTCGCCGGGCCCAGTCGAAGCCGAGCGACCAAGCTCCATGAAGAAGAAGCTATCCGAGTGGCCGCAGCGGCGGATGTTCATGAGCTGCAGCGTCACGCAGGGCCGCTGGCAGTTGAGGCGCACCAGCCCCACCGTGCGCGCCGCTAGGCACAGCCGGTGCACGCCGGCGAGGTTGCGGCTCTGCCCGAGGCCCCGGGGCTTCAGCGTCACCTGCCACACCTCGCGGTAAGGCGAGGCCCCGGGCAGCGGCGGCTCCTCGCGGGAGGCCGACGGCGGCTGGCGCCGAGGGGAGTCGTGCCCGGCGGGCTGGCTCTCGCGGAGCAGCTCCGTCAGCGCCACGTACCAGGCCTCCTGCTCCGGCTCGCTCTCGGCTGCCAGCGCAAAGTACTCGTCGCGCGTGTACAGAGCCACTAGGTGCTTGTGCTTGGCGTCGGCCCGCTTGTGGATGTTGAGGCAAGAGTCGAGCGCGATGGAGCGCTTGGGCGCCGCCGACTTGCTCCGCCACTTCTTCTCGCTCTCGTAGTACTCCAGCCGGGCGGGCTGAGGCGGCGCTTCGTCCGCGGCGGCTCCGTCGCTGGCGGCGCGGAGCACGAAGAAGCGCCTGTGGCCGTGCTTGTGCTTGCGCAGGTAGCCGCACTTGCGCACGCCCGGCGGCGGCGGCGGCTGCTGCTGCTGCTGGTGGTTGTTGTTGTTGTTGCGGTTGAGGCCTCCTTGCGGGCGGTCGGGAAGCTCCGCCGCGGGGGGACTCGCCATCCCCTCTCCCGCTCCGGGGCGGCGATTCTGAGCAGCGCTTGTGCGAGGCCCGCAGCTCGCGCGTCCCCCACCCCGGCGCCCCCGGCCGCTTCGGGTCTCCGCTGCGGCCCGCGCTTGCTCGCTCGCTCTAGCCAGCCGCTCAGTCCGTTCGGTGCTGCGCGCGCTCCTCGCCGGAGGACCAGAGATGCAGCAGCAGCAGCAGGAGCAGCAGCAGCAGGGAACTTCTCCGCTCTCCTCTGCCAACAGCAAAACAACACGTGACGCGCCCGGGTTACCCAGAAGCTCACGTAGGAGAAGGGGCGTTGCGGAGAGAAGCCGCCCAGGTCCTTTCATCAGCCCGCATCCCGCGTAACAGACAGCGCGCTCCACCAATGGATTGCAGGGTGAAAGCCCCACTCCCGGCTGCGAGGCTGCGATTGGGTTTCCAGCTGGCCTCTCTGGCCCGCTCGCCTGTTTCGTCCTCCGCCTTCCCACTACCTGCCGCCGGGCGACGGTGTCTCTTGGTCTCCCTCTGAAGCAACAAATCCTCGGCGAGCGAGTGAGCGCCCTTCCCCTGCCGGAGTGGGGCTCCTTGCCCGCCCGACCGCCCATCGGGCCCGAGGTCCTCAGACCTTCGTGCCCTGACTTCCCCGGCGCTTCGGTAATTCGGATGACACGGAGAGTTCCCGCAGTTTATCCAGCGGGTTTGCTGTCGATGTGCTTATTTATTTAATAGCGAAATAGAAACAGTAAAGAGGACAGTAAAGAGGAAAGAAGAAAAATAGATAGAATGTGATAGAATTCTTAACCCTTTGCTTTCTGTTTAAAGTGATCAAAATATTTTTATAGTCATATATATTTCATTGAAATGCTGCAAATAAATAAATAAATAAGCAAGCAAGCAAGCAAGCAGGCAGGCACTTTGTTAAGAAGAAAGGTGACAAAGGAACAGTTATCTATTTCATCAAATGAGAGTTTTCAAGGAATAAAGGTACCCTGCAACACAACACTCAGTGGCATTTTGTCTTTTGGTCCATTTCCCCATCCTCCAGTGAAGTATACACCAAACTACTCTCAGACCAAATCTGAGCCTACACAAGAAAAATGACAGGAAGGAACTGCTTGCTGGCCTAAATATTTTTTTCTCTTTCCCAATTAGTTTTCTATTCAAACGGGGGGGGGCAGGAGGCAGGGCCAGATTTAGATGAAGAGAAGCCCCAGGCTACTCCACTTGTGAGGCCCCTCCCCATCCCTCACCCTCACAACTAGAAGAAAATGGAAGAGTGTTACAGTAAGAACCTGGAACATGGGTTACAAGCTCTTTGAAGATCTTCCCTCCCTACCCAGAATACATATCCAGAACCATCATTGATACATCACTGATATATCATCATCATGTCACAAGGAGGGAGGGGAGTTGTGAGGTTACCCAAGTTCATCAACTTGCCCCAGTTATCAGATCAAGTTCCTACCACCTATCAGATCAAGTTCCTAACACCTAAGGGACACGGTTGGCGCTGTGGATTAAACCACAGAGTCTAGGACTTGCCAATCAGAAGGTTGGCGGTTCGAATCCCCGCGACAGGGTGAGCTCCCATTGCTTGGTCCCTGCTCCTGCCAACCTAGCAGTTCGAAAGCACGTCAAAGTGCAAGTAGATAAATAGGTACTGCTCTGACGGGAAGGTAAACAGTGTTTCCGTGCGCTGCTCTGGTTCGCCAGAAGCGGCTTAGTCATACTGGCCACATGACCCAGAAGCTGTCCGCCGGCTCCCTCGGCCAATAAAGCGAGATGAACGCCGCAACCCCAGAGTCAGCCACGACTGGACCTAATGGTCAAGAGCCATTTACCTTCATGCATATCTTTGCCTTCTGGCCTTCCCAAGGATGGGCTGTGGGAACACCTGGCCTCAGGAAACCCATCAACAGATGTTCATTGTTCTCTCAAGGGAGGGGCGCTCTGTACTTGACTGTATATCCCAAAGATTATGGAGGAGGGTGGTATCCAAGTTGAACACATGACCTCTCGCTTAGATTATTATGGAGGAAGGCAATGTCCAAGTCTGCCTTTCCTTTTGAAGCAAAATGTCATTGAAATGGGAGAATTGGTTATGGCATTGATTTTATGTAATTTCCAAAGGTTAGTAGTCCAGCACGGTCAAGTACAAGGGGGTACAATTTTGACACTTGCAATAATGCAACAAGTTTTGCCAATAGAAACCAGCTTTCTCGATTAACAGTGCAAAGGCTCATTGCCCCGGGGTTTTGAGGGAGGAGAGGTGTTGAGAGGTGACAAAAATGATTTCCAATAAGTGCCCCCCTTTATTTCCATAACAAGTCCTTGAGTCTGTACTCTGACTAGGGACCTAGAAGTGGCAGCGCTTGTCAGCCCAACCCCTGCAACCCCTCATCAGGGCTGGCCTTAAGGAAATTGGAGCAGCTGGGCCAAATTGGGCCTTGCAGACTGCTCCTAAGGGGGCCCCTGCACCAGGGCAATCTAGATGAATTGTATTTATATCTCTAAGATTCCAAGATGGGTCCCAGAGCTTCAAATTGGGCCCCACTGGCTAGCCCTGAGTCTCATAGTTGCTGGGCCTGAGTTGCCCTGCCCTTGCATGAAGTCTTGGGTCTGCAATTTTGGAGAGTGGTGACTTCCCACTGGGAAGCAGGCGTTTCCTAGATTTAGAGGCAGGCAGGAGGGCAGCTACCCCCCTAAATCAAGTAAATCAATAAAAATATTTAACTAACTGAGGTTATGCCCCCTACTAATATAAAGCCTGACCCTTAACAAAAATCCTGGCTATGCCCATGTACTGGTTAGCAATAAAATCATCATCATCATCTGGCTAGGTTTCCCTAGCCACTCTGGGTGGCTTACAATGCATATAAAAACACAGTAATTTTTTGTGTGAAAACATTAATGAGATGAGGAAATATTTGTTTGGTAAAATATATAAAATTCATGGGTTTTTATTTTATTTTAACCTATGTGGAATTATATTCTTACAGAAATTTTGAAATTACTTTCAAAGCAGCACCCCCATCAAAGTTTGAGAGGCATTTTTCAAGCTTTGGGTGTCAGAAAAGCACTCACTGCATATGCTGTTATCAATGAGCCTTCATTTTCAGGTAATGGCCAAGCCATCAATTTATTTTTGCATGTCAGTCAAGAACAGCAGTCTATCAAATTGTATCTGTGTTGAAGTAACTGGGATCTACTGCAGAAAAAAAGATCTTGCTGGGTATTGTCTAAAATAGCTTGATGTCCAAGGCAGGCCTAAATATGAGGAATGTGTATTAGGTGATGCTGGATGCTGGAATTGAAGGTATGTTCATCAAATTTGCAGATGACACCAAACCGGGAAGGTATCTAATGCAGAATTTGAATTCAAAATGACCTTCACAGATTGGGGAACTGGGCACAAGGTAACAAAATGAATTTCAATAGGGATAAATGTATGTTTTTGTCCTTAGGCAGGAAGAATCAGCTGCACATGTGAAAAGTACACGTGACATGAGTCAACAGTATGATGCAGCAACGAAAAAGCTAATACTATTCTAGGCTGCATCAATAGAAGTATAGTGTCCAGATCAGGGGAAGTAATAGTACCACTCTATTCTGCTTTGGTCAGATCACACCGAGAATACTGTGTCCAGTTTTGGGCATCACAATTTAAGAAGGATGTTGACAAGTTGGAACAAGTGCAGAGTTGGGCAACCAAGATGATCAAGGGCCTTATGAGGAACAGTTGAGGGAATGCTCCAACTACTGCACAATTGCACTCATTTCACAAGCAAGGTGATGCTTAAAATTCTACAAGGGAGGCTTAAGCAGTATGTGGACTGAGAACTCCCAGAAGTGTAAACTGGATTTCGAAGGGGCAGAGAAACCAGAGACCAAATTGCAAACATGATTATGGAGAAAGCTAGAGAGTTCCAGAAAAACATCTACTTCTGCTTCATTGACTACACAAAAGCATTTGACTGTGTCAACCACAGCAAACAATAGCAAGTTGTTAAAGAAATGGGAGTGCCTTACCTGTCTCCTGAGAAATCTCTATGTGGGACAAGAAGCTACAGTTAGAATGGAACAACTGATCGGTTCAAAATTGGGAAAGGAGTACGACAAGGCTGTATATTGTCCCCCCGCTTATTTAACTTATATGCAGAATTCATCATGCGAAAGGCTGGACTGGATGAATCCCAAACCGGAATTAAGATTGCCAGAAGAGAATTGGAAATAAGAGTCAAAAAAATTAATCCCAGAACCTTTTCAGATCATAACTCCTTGATCATGGAACTACAAAAAGATGGTTTTACAGCCAGTAAAGTGAGATGAGCGCCGCAACCCCAGTCGGTCACGATTTTGTTACAATTTTGTAATATGCAGAGAATAACATTTATAGAGAAACCAGAGATTGGAACTGAGGGAAGTCAGGGGAGGGTGGGTTGTTTTATGGGAGGGAGGGGGAGGGGAAAATGGGGGGGGACATTAAGGATGATATGTTTTAAAATAATGTGTTTTGTATAAATTCCTAATAAAATAAAATAAAAAGATTGCCAGAAGAAATATCAACAACCTCAGATATGTAGATGACACAACTTTCATGGCAGAAAGTGATGAGGAATTAATGAGGGTGAAAGTGGAGAGCGCAAAATATGGTCTGAAGCTCAACATAAAAAAACCTAAGATCTGGTCCCATCCTGGCAAATAGAAGGGGAAGAAATGGAGGCAGTGAGAGATTTTACTTTCTTGGGCTCCATGATCACTGCAGATGGTGACAGCAGTCACAAAATTAAAAGACACCTGCTTCTTGGGAGAAAAGCAATGAGAAACCCAGACATCATCTTAAAAAGCAGAGACATCACCTTGCCGACCATATAGTTAAAACTATGGTTTAGTGATGTATGGAAGTGAGAGCTGGACCATAAAGAAGGCTGATCACTGAAGAATTGATGCTTTGGAATTATGGTGCTGGAGGAGATTCTTGAGAGTCCCATGGACTGCAAGAAGATCAAACCTTAAGGAAATCAGCTCTGAGTGCTCACTTGGAAGGACAGGTCCTGAAACTGAGGCTTCAAGACTTTGGCCACCTCATGAGACGACTCCCTGGAAAAGACCCTGATGTTGGGAAAGATGGAGGGCACAAGGAGAAGGCGATGACAGAGGATAAGAGGACAGTGTTCTTGAAGCTACTAATATGAGTTTGACCAAACTGTGGGAGGCAGTGGAAGACAGGAGTGCCTGGTGTGCTCTGGTCTATGGGGTCATAAAGAGTAGGATACGACCAGTGGCGGAGC